CTATAGAAACTGGCAATTTTTTTTTTTTTTTTGAAATTCTGATACTCCAGAGCTGAAACCAGACCTCAGAACTGTATAGCACTGTTTATGTTGTAAGAGTCTTCACTATTTAAAATAAATTAAAAAAAAAAAAAAAAAATTCCATGTTAAGTCTCACAATATTTCCTGTATTTAAGTAAGATGGATTGTCTTCATTAAAAGACTGAGAACCTGGTCAAAACCAGAGTCAAGTCAACATATTCCCTGGGAAGTGGTGGAGTCACCATCCCTGGAAGTATTTAAAAGATGTATAGATGAGGCGCTTAGGGACATGGTTTAGTGGGCATGGTGGTGTTGGGTTGATGGTTGGACTCGATGATCTTAGAGGTCTTTTCCAACCTTAATGATTCTATGATTCTATATTGTTTCGAGGTTGCATGTATCAGACCTTAGTAAATGGCAATGAAAAGGATGCAGCCTTGTTCTGGATTCATCATCCAAAGCTGGGTCTCCACAATATATGTGTAGACTCCTTTTATGAAGAGAAGCTGACACTTCTAGGATTTATTTTGAACACCTGTTTCAGGATAAGATGTAGAAACTTCTAGAAAAAACTCTTTCTCCTGAGGAGAAACTAAATCTGCTGCAGACATCTAAAGTGAGCTGGGATGAATCTCATCTTTAGACTGTCAAAGAATGATCTGTTCTCACTGCAACCAAAGAAAGCAGTACTTACTTGAGTACTATTGCATTCATCACTGCACTAATGGGGGAAGACAAAGTCCCAGCCCCAGAGCTCTCGCAGGCTATTTTAAAGCCATGCAGCACAAAGCAAATGGAGCTGACACTAAATAAGTTCATAAATAAAGGAAATGTGCTTAATTAAAATTTCATTGACATAATTACATTGAAAATAGAAGAGTAACGTTAATACATCTCTTAGTTGTTACATTCTCAGAATGACTGCCACTTTAGTTTTGGTACACAGTTACATAGTGGGGGTTTGTGTGTGGTGTTTTTTGGTTTGGTGTTTTGGGTTTTTTTGTTGTTGTTGGTTTGGTGTCTTGTTTGTTTTTAAGAAAAAAGGGGAGGGAGGGAGAAGGAAGAACTTATTTCCTCAAACACTGGTGTAAAAAAAAAAAAAAAAAAAAAAACACCAAAAAAACAAAACAAAAAAAACCAAAACAAAAAAACCCCACCACCCCAATATTTTGCCAGTCAGAAACAGTGTGAAAGGAAGGCATTTGTAATCTAACAATGCAGCTTACATTGCAAAATGTTGCCATTTGTGGATATACCACCAGCTCCTTTACAGGACTATGATCTTTAAGAGTTATGGAACTCTTTTGCCAGGTACTGCTGCACCTCCCCAGTTACAAGTAAGCCCAACCAAACTTGTCTGGATGGGACCTGAAAACTATATAACTGCCTCTGTTATGAACCTCATTTTAGATGCTCTTCTCTCATCAAAAGTTTTCTTTGAAGCTGAAGTTTATTATGGAGTTCCCATCCAAAGGAGATTTGAATACAAAAAATAGATAAGGTAGACAGAATTCTTATTTTAATTGAAAATGAAGAAATTTTTAGTTAAATTCTGCCGATTATTTACAAAAGTATCTTAAAATGGTGTTACATTATTACTGTAAAATAATTCATGCAAAGAACTGCTCTCTGTCCTTGAAGGAATGCTGCAAAATGCACAAGCTCTCCAGACAACCTAGAAGAACTTGTAATCTGTACTGCTACATAACACTAGGTCCGGGGGGGAGGAATTATGAGCGTAATTTGGAAAATCTTTACATTCCAAGAGCATAACTGTTTCTTTACTAGAGTCTGCAAGTAACTAGCTACACAGAATTAAGGTCAATAGCAGAGTATATAGAAATACACATATACAATATGCTCAAGTCACTAAAGAAAAATATTTATCTAATAAATATCACATTGGTAATAAAATCTGGGTCAATAAACTACTAATATAATAATGATTATTCATAACAAAAATCCATAACAGGTTTGTTGGGAATAAAAAATAAATTAAGGAAAACTTAATAACTAAATTAAGGAAAACTACTAATACAAGTATTATTAATGTAAGTAATAACAATATCTTTGTGTTAGTTCAAAGACTGCAAGACAAGACTTTTAGATACAAATTTCTTAAATTCTGACTCTCTATATACCAGAAACCTCCGTGTCCCTTACAACTCCCCATCAATATTTTTCAGTTGTGCTATAGAGCTCAGTCTGCCTTCTGACCTGTATGCCACTGGAGGCCTAAATCCTCTCTTCCATCATGGAAGAATTCCCCCACTATTCACCTGTTGCAAAGTCAGTCTTTCAGACTATTTTCTGAGATTAAACACATCGCCTATGATAACATCAAGGGACAGTATTTTCAGTGATGTAATAATGGATAATAACCAGTCAAAGCTGGTACCCTCTGCTCTGTATGTAGAGAACCAAAAATCTTAGGGAAATTACCTACCATTTGTTCTCTGATATAGAACAATTCTCCATCCTGTTGATAAAAAGCAAGATGCCTCCCTTTTTTTTTTCTGCCCCCCCCTCCTCCTTTCGCCCCAAGTCAGACTACATGAAGAACTTGTAACTGTTTTGCAAAGCTAATGAATTTGTATGCTAAATTTACCTTTCCCTTCACTCTCAGGCTAGGGGACACAAAGGATAGAGTTGAGGACACAGGATAACTCTCTTCTGCAACAGAACTCATAAGGCCTTAAAAACCATGACCATTAAGGTGTCAAAGCAGCTCCTTTGCAGCAACAGCATGCAAAGCTGGGCAATTTTGATTCTGAGAATTGCAGTTACCTACCTTGAAGTGGCTTTGCTCTTCCATGAAATGAGGTTTTCCATTAAGGATTTTTAAGGAAAAAGAAATTTCAGATAGCTTTTTTCAGAGTACTCATAAACCTAGCCACAAAGTCACATACAATAGTTCTTTATACCATGTTAACATTAAGTAATAACCAACTTGTTTTATAGGGAATCTTGGAAGACCATTGGCTGATGAAAACATTGTGCGCACAGTAATTGAATTTTTGACTTACTTGCATCTTAAAGGTTAGTGAATACCTTTGTAATCTTTCACTTTCTGGTGTGAAATTTACTGGGAAGGTAGGACTATCCCTGAATGTACAGATCTGCTACATATTTGAGTGTGTAAGACTTTGAACAGCATCTCTGATGGGGGGAGGAAATGTCAATTCCGTTTTAGTGCACTTAGGAATAGGCCTGATTTAGAGAGTGCAGGTAGTCCTGCCAAACTGCAGGTCAATGAATATCCAGCATAGCAGGGTTCTAATACGATTCCATTACTCTGGGCACTGTGAAAATAATAACAGCTACTACTAAAACTGTATGGACGCAGCTTTTAGCAGAGTTGAAAACAAACTAAATACAGTCTGATTACATGGGAGTTAGTATAAAACAATTCAATAACAAATTAAATAAGTTTAATGCCAAGAACAATTGGTTGAAATGCTGACAAAAGAAATACATCTCCCTTTCTGCATGTATTCTACAATAAAGTCACATTATAAAATTACAACAACACTAAGCTGAATATTGGCAAACAGCTCAAAATGCTGCTAGTAAAAACTCTGTGGAGTCTCAAAATTGTGACAAGAGTTGTAAAATTGAGCTTACAGCTGATTTTATAAGAATGGTAACTTTATTATAGCATTAGGTGAAGAAGAAATCTGGCTGCTTCTGAGTTTTCATTAGTTTTGCTTTTTTAAAAAAAACAACACAATTCTGAGCTTTTAAAAACCTCTTCAGCCCTTCTAAAACGGTCTACAAAATGTTCAAAAACATAATATATACTTGCAAAGAAAACAACAGAAGGAAAAAAGTTATCTTTACTGCAAACGTTTCAGGAATTCTCTGTCTCAGAAAGCAGACAATTCAATAAATCTGTAAATTCTATATTCTTACCTTTGTATACAACAAATTATAAGCAATTTTGTGGTAAGTGTATGCTGTGGAACAGTAACAAAGAACTGTGTGTTACACAGCTGTGTATTTTAATTTCATTATTAAATGAGACTTTCAAGAGGTCTGTTCATTTTCTGCATATCTAGGAAACAAAATTCTAGACCTCTTTGGCATCATTTTCTAAATTATTTGCATTCACCCAAGTGAAATAATTCTCACTACTAAAAATATCAACCCAGTGTTTATTGAATCAACTTTGCATTTGAAACAAAAACTCTTCATGGTTAATGCTAAGGGCCTGAGATAATTCAAATATATATTTAAAGTAGATTATTAGCATGTATATTTACTGTGGACAAGTAGTAGCTTTTGTTGTGTGACTGTGAAGAAGAAGGAGCCCTAAACACTCCTTTACCCTGCTATGTGGGCCTAGGAAGTATAACCAATAACTGGACACAGCAGAAAGGGTGTGAAACATGTTGAGATCAAGCATGAACTCTCTGATGAGTATGCTAAGAGCTGCTAAATTGGGCAAGAAAATAAAATGCATCTCATAGAAATACAAATTACTTGTTCCCTGGGATAAATGAGCAAAAAAGGCTGTATTGTAACTCTAAGTAACAATTCCTTGTTTAGGATAGTGATGACAAACAGCTGTTTTTATTCAGAAAAGAAGGTATTATTATCTGTCCTCATAAAAAAAAAAAGAATCTCCAGATCATATAAAATGGCTTTTCCCTGAGATAGTATTCCCAGGTTTCAGAAGAATGTTATCATATTATCTCTTAAAAATATTCATTGGCAAGACCTAGTACAAACTCTTACACAAAATTAGAACTGTAGATTTAGGAGGTGAAAAATATACTTAATACGGTAGAGACGCTTTTAACATTTTTCCTGAAATGAAACTTTACTACATTAAATATATTGGTTTAGATATGTTGCTTTGGGGGGAGCTGGAAAACTCCCACTCAGGGGATTCAGATTCAGGGAATGGTTATTCAGATTAGACAAACATTTCAATGTGCAAGATAAAGAGTATTTTAACTGCTAAGAAGTACCTTGGCGATAACTAAAAGTGGTGTTCAGCTCTTTCTCTTGAAAATTGCTCCCTCCAGCTTTAAAGGCTTCCCATATAGAGCAGGTTGTAGGATGGCAGCCATAATTGGATAATATTAAAACTTTTGAGTTGCTGGGATCCAGCAATATCATTTGACATAATAAAATTGATATAATTTCATTGTCATTCTGTCACTACTGTTTCTTAAAACGTGAAATTATAGCAGGAAGATATTATTAATATTCAAAAGAAAAAAAACCCAACAGTTTATAAATTAAAATATGAAAAGTTCAAGGATTTGACTCTTATAGTTGAGAGAAAAATATAAAAATGTATACTACTGAAATTGGATTTCATTATTATTGCTAAGATTAATATGCATACTTACATATGTGTTAATTCTCTCTCTTTTTTCTTTTTTTTCCTTTTTGCAGAGGTGGGAGCACTTGACAAACTACCTTCACCAGAGGAAACAAACCAGTCTTGAAGAAGAATGCATTTTTATTTTCTTGTAGTGTAGATTTAGATTGAATTCTCAACAAAAGATTCAAATGAGCTGAAGATGAGAAGTATCGCTTGCATTAATCTGATAAATGGTAAACAGCATTCTTCCCTCTGGATTTTTTGTTTGTTTGTTTGGGGTTTTTTTGTCTGCTTTTTTTTTTCCTCTCCTGTGATGTTATAGTGTAAAATTTTGCCTTGGTAAAATTTTTCTGTAGGTAAATGATAAAATAAAAATAAAGAGCAACTACATTGTTTCATTTTTAAAATTAAATACATACCAGTACACAATACATCATATACAAAGCCCAGGTTAAATTGTAAAGTTACACTGCATTTATATTCCGCAAAATTACATTAAATTAAAACATAAATACTACATATTGGGAACCTTAGCTAACTGAGAAAAAGAAGAACAGTGACTTCAACCTGCATACCTTCACGCAATACAAATTTAACTGTTCTGTACAGGTAATAGGTTTACACAAATCCTACGTGTAGGATTCCTATTCCTATGTTGTCAAGAATACTGGATCTGTATTCTTTAATGAAGAAACCTTTCCGTCCACTCCAAGATGAAAAAAAAAATTATTTTATGAGACGCTTTAGTCTGAGTCCAGCAAAGCACTTGAATACATGCTTAATCCCTATGAAAGAGCTTTGATGTTCCGGGACCAGAATGTTAGGCCCATACACAATAAATGTCATATCAAGAATGAGGAAAGGTTTGAGAAGATACACAATCTTAGAAAGATTTTTTGCATTCAGGTGACTTTCACTCTCTGCATAGTGCAACGAAATATCACCCTTTCAAAATGCTGCTGTGCACTAGAGTGCAGAGACTGGCAGAAATTTTGCAGAACATTATTACACTTTAGCATAGCAGAATGCATTCTAGGTGCCAAGGCACTAGTGGTCTAATTTGAACGCACATGGTTCTCTCACCTGTGCTCTTCCTCTGATAATCGCTCAGCCTCTGATCTAATGTCTGATGTTCACTTTCTGAGCGAGCCCTTCAGACAATGTTTTACTGTTTTTTTTTTTTTGAAAGAGTAATTAAAAAGTATACACTGTTAGTATACATGCTGCTAGTTCAACATTATTTGGTAAATTTATGGACTTCCAAAAATGTGAAAAAAGAATAGAGTGAAATTTGACTTCTGTACATTAGTGTAGTTCAGTAATTCCAAACTCTTATTTTCACCAGTAATGTCCACATTTCCCATCATAAACTTGAAGCAGGGCTCACTAAATTCAAGAGGCATTCTTTTCATTGCCTTCCACAACTTGGTTCATTGACTGCTAAGAACCAGTATCCTTTTGCAGAACTCAATAACAAGCCATCTTTCTATGGCAAAGCAGCTGAATCTATGATCAAATAAAAAGAACATAATCTTAGCATTTGAAATAGGATAAGAAATTTAGTTTAAAATTAGAAAACAGTTATTACTTAAATCAAATTAGCATACTGTCAACTCCTTAAAGTTGGAATGGTCTTGTTAGAATGTTTATTTGAAATTCTGAAATTTGAGATTATTTGAAATACTGAAAGTCTCATAGGATCAAGTTCCTTGGAAGATTTACATCACTGTCTAAGTGGGGAGGCCCACAAGTTTTTACTCATTGTGCTGCACTGCATGTATTGCATACCTATGCAATGTATTATATTGCAATGTATTATGCATGTATTATAAAAAACACAAAGGATCATTATAGTCTAATCACCAAAAGCAGTCCACATACTTTCACTTAATAATTACTGCATTCAAACACATACTGGTAATATTCCAACATACAGGGGGAGGTAAAATTTTCAGACTGTTTCTTCACCCTCTACAGCTCTTATCTTTGCAAAAACAAAGGGGCAAAAAACAATAAAGGGGCATTTTTCTGGATCAATTTCAGTAACATTATTATTTTATTAAGATTCTTATTTTATTTAAGGCATGTCTTAGCTACATCTCAGACCTAAATTCTGCAAATATTTGGAATGACATCTCCATAATCAGCCTCTCAGACAAACACCTGATAAAAGATGGCCTTTAAACCACAATTTGAAAGCGATTAGTTTTAACAGGGCAAAGAGACAATAAAAAGATCCGACAAGTTTCAGTAGGAAAAAAAAAAATCCCTAACCATTTCCTCTTCATTTCATTTATTTGCTCATTTGCATACATTGTATCCCACTTTTGTGTAGGATTAGATTAAACACATATCTGCACTAAAGACAAAAACCAAAGTCTAAAAAAATGAGTAAAACTTCGTTGTAATGTTTGTCAGTGATATGAAATTACCCAGCATGCAAATTTAACTCTGACAGTGAACAGAAGGCTTGCATGATGGACAACAAAATGGCAGATGAAATGAAATGCTGATGCAAGCAAAGTAATATACACAGAGAAAAACAACTCTAATTTTGCATACACATAATGATGGTCTAAATTATCTCCGGAAAAATAGCTTAAACTCATTGTACATGGTCCTCTAAAAAAAGTAATTTTAAACCTCAGAAGCAGTTAGAAAGGCAAATGGAATGTTAGGAATTATAATGAAAGTAACCAAAACCAAATCAGAAAACATCATTATGCCACCATTCCCAACTTTGACACCAGCTGCAGTTCTGGTGAGCTCATTGCAAAACAGAACCACTGTAGAACCAAAAAAGCTATAGAGAAAAGTGATGAATATGTTCAGCAACAGGGAACAACTTTTATACACAGAGAGACTAAATAGATTGTGACTTTAGCTAGAGAAAGAGACTAGTGATGGAGTCTTAAATGTCGTGGTAAAAGTGCTTAGCGAATTCTCTACTTCTTGTAACATAGGATTTAATGATTACCTGGTAAAATGATCAAGTGACATTTTTAAACCCCAGCCCCAGAAAAAGAAGTCCTTTTCCATATATCTCATGATGAAATTGTGGCACTGACAGGCACAGGACATTGTGGAGGCCATAGGTTCTGAAAGGAAACGGTTATATTCACAGAGGAAAAGTCCTTCAAAGTCCAAATGAAACCACTACCTCAAAAAGTCTAATTAAATTGTTTCTTAGAACACATTACGGACATGTGTGCAGTGAGCTATAAAACAACCCTTAGCACCTGATCAGCGATTCAGCGATTAATTAAACAGGGCTTCTTCATCTGCACAGCGTCTGATGCCAGCTTACAAAAGAAACTTGGAAATTACACATTTTTGGCTAAAAATTCTGCAGAAATGAATACTACCTATAACCAAAGACGTATAATTTTATACAGTGCTTCACCTGACAGGTAGTCTCACTTGTTTAAATGCAGATCAGTTCAGCATAAAAGAGGGAATTTCTGGTGGCACAGCTGACATAAAACCGTCTATTCAGATTAGAAAGTCATTAGGCAGCTGACAGGATACATGTATTTCCCCACCTGTCTACTCATGTAAAGGTCAGACTGCAAAATTAGCATAGAAAAATTAGATAGGACTCAGAATACTGAGGATGTTTGAGGGGGCTTGATACTGGGGTTGACATAATTCTGCTTTCAAGTTTAATGTTACCATAGTTAAAACCAAACTACAGCTCTTTTTGCCTGACTAGCGCACTAACTTCCTAAGATAACAGAGAAGCTTGGTGTGAGTTAGTTTACAGAAGATTCTGACAATTTCTTTTGCCTTTCAAACAAGACGAGGAGTTATGATATGAGATAGTATGTGAAGCAACACATTATAAAGTATTTTCATGATTTCAGAATATGTGATACAAAAAAGCAACAGGTTAGAAATGGACACCAGGAAATACTTTGTAATTTGTCCAGGATATAAATTGCCTTAGGCAATTTCTAAGGCAGATATGAGGATTAAAAGAAAATTTAGAGCTGAGTGTTATTAGTAGAACAAATGATTTTTCACCAATTAACAAAGTACATTAACAGAGTGCAGTATTTCTGTCACTGCTTTGTGTTCTATCATTATTTTTAAATAAATGCAAATAATAATTCTGATAATTTTGTGAGGACTGAGCATGACATGGACCAACCATAGAAAACTGCAACTCAGAGATTGCTCTACTACTCATATTCAGTAGTTGGGTATACAAATGTCAGTTGCTAAGATTTTTAATACCTCAAAGCATAGGGTATTTGTCAATTCACGTGCAACACTCAGCACCTCCCAGAAACAAACTTTAAAAAGCCAGAGTAGAAACAAACTTTAAAAAGCCAGAGTTGGGAATTATTTTATCTCCTTGCTTGTAAAGCACTACATTATTCCCAAATACTTCATCAAATTCCCTTAGATTCAACTCGTTTATGTTCCATCATCTGTGCTATTTCTAGTTGAATTGATCTCCACAGATTTTCCACTAATTAAGTACATATAAATCATACAGCCTTTCTGAGTGCTGGGAGACATAAGTCTCATATAGAATGTCTGTCTGAGAGGAAATTCTAAAATACCAAAATACAATCTATCTCAAATCAGGATAAAATGTTACCATTCCATTTGCATTTTTTTCTTCCCCTTTGGTACAGTTTCTAATGTAAATGTTGACTATTTATCACTTACAAACACTTAAATAATTCATTCAGAATGGATTGCTTTTGTAATTCCCCTTCAGAATGTTTATGAGGTCATGTGTTTCCTTGAAATTATTCTATTTAACTAAAAATCATTCTATCAGAAAATAATTGATCTGATTTATGAACATTATGGCTATTTTTTACATTTATCAATATTAAAGGTGGTATTTCTTGACAAGATTTAAAACTGAGGCTCTGATCATTTACATCAATATAAGGTCCCATGTCATATTTGTAGAATGAGTATCCTTTGCTTATTATTTATACAGATGTCATTGTAGGGGAATCACACTTTGCTTCCCTAAGCTCTTTCCGCAATTTCATAGGCTTGTCCAATTCTTCTTGAACTCCTCTAAAAGATAGTAAATTTAGGAATCATTAGCTTTCTGGTGGTTTTCACATCTACTGTTCTCTGCAGCTATTAAAACTCTACTCAAAATAGTCTCCAAAGATTTGTGTGAGAATTTTATGCACCTCTGCTGCAAATCAGTGTTTGGGGACACTATTCTACTGGGTAACTTCTTTTACGACTCTTCACAGGAGCTTTAGACACTTGAACTAAAGAGGGTAGTTCTGCTAAGTGAAGATCTGAATCACCTTCTGCTCTCTGCTAGCCAGAGAGTGAGCCCTGGCTCTGAATCCAGAGTAACCTTTTAAATTAGGCATTTTGGTTTGCTTCTTCAAATGAAGCAGA